TAAATTATATACAATTATCTTTTATTATTTATTTTTATTAATTACCATTCCAATTTTAAATTGTTCTTATAGTTTTTCTTACTCTATCTAGCAGCGCAAAGTGTTTTTACATGAAAAATCTACGACATATATTGCAGACACTTTCTTAAACCTGCGTACGAAAGAATATTGCAATAAAAGTTATTACATATTTTATAAGATAATATTAATCGAAATAAACTACCAGGATAGAAAATGTATTCTTACACCGGAAAATGTGTTTTACAGCAGAGAATATTTATTATAGCATCACGTGTTCATACGTGTTCCTCTGTTCCATCGATGTGACAGATTCTAACCTGAATAGTTAAATGGTTAATACTAAATACCACATTTACCTCTTGCTATCTAGAGTCAAACCTGTCAGAATGAGATGGCGAACACCTAGACACACATTTCCTCGAAGACAAACACCTAGACACCCACTTCTTCGACGGCGAACATCTAGACACACACTTCCTCGACGGCGAACATCTAGACTCCCACTTCCTAGACGGTGAACACCTAGACATCTATTTTTTCAATGGCGAACATGTAGACAACACCTAGACACTCACTTCTTCGACGGCGAACATCTAGACGCCCACTTTCTCGATGGCGAACACCTAGACATCCACTTCTTCAATGGCGAATACTTAGACACCCATTTCTCCAATAGCGAACACCTAGACACCGATTTCCTCGACGGTGAATACCTTGACACCCATTTCTCCAATAGCGAACACCTAGACACCACTTCCTTGACGGCGATCACCTAGGCACTCATTTCCTCGATGGCAAACACCTAGACACCAACTTCCTCGACAGCGAACATCTAGACACCCATTTCCCCAATAGCGAACACCTAGACATCCACTTCCTCGATGGCAATCACCTAGACACCCATTTCTTCGACCTATACACCCACTTCCTCGACGACAAACATCTAGACGCTTAATTCCTCGACGGCGAACACCTAGACGCTTAATTCCTGAATATCTATACACCCTCTTCCTCGACGCGATAAATACCTAGATCTTCTACGAGAATCTCGATACGATATTTCATTTTAATTATAATTAATATTTTATTTTAATTCATTTTATTAATTAAATTTCATTTTAATTTCAATTAATTATAATAATAATGCGCCGCGTGCACGTCACATCGTATATGTGACAATGTTGCCATCGCTGATTATCACAGCCGTCGTTGATCACATTGGAATGTGCAATGCTGCCATCGCTAGGTTAAGTCAAAAGCCCTCTAGTGTCGAAAAAACGGGAAGGACATTTTCTCCTGGTCTACGACGATGATGATGACGTTTTTTAATATAAAAGTTTCACATTCGTATTTTGCGTCGCAATATCTCCGCTCGTAAAGCACATAGAGAAAAAATAAAAACACTTTCATTATATATCCCGACCGGTTGCATTCGATTGAGCACACTTAGAACTTGATCGATTCAGCCGTTATTGAGATTCGATAATCTCGTATTGCCGCAACTCGCCGGCTCGCGTAAAGTAGCCACGGTAGTGGCGCTGCGCGTAGCTTAGCGCCGAGACACTACCAGTGTGTCTCCAGATAAATTATCTATAAAATATATATACAATAAAGAAGGCGAGTAGCGCCATTGCCATAGGTACATTTAATAAATAGTTGAACATTAGACCGCTCTCTCTGCTGGATTGAAAAGGGGAGGCCAAGACAAACACAAAATAATTTACGCGACACTCGCAACGTTCGGAACGCGA